GAGGAGGGGGGGGGGGGGGGGGGAGGAAGGGAAAGGAAAATCCTCACATGTGCTTGTGATAAGAGTCTCTATTGCAGTAGTTGTCCCAGGGGACTGGCAAACAAGTAGGCCAGGAGATAGTCTTCAACAACAGGAGCAAGAGTGGATGGAATGTGGGGAGGACCCTGTCCAGCTCCCCTACTCACCAGCTGCACAGCAGTAGCAATGCTAGCAGCAGCCACCTCAACTGCTACCCACAAAGCGACAGGCAACAGTGAATGAAGCAGGGGATTGCAGGAAGAAAAAGGAATGTTGTGATGTTTGGGGGATCATTTAGTTCAGTAAGGGGTTCTATCACCACATGCCCTGTAACTTAGAGTGTGTTGGTGCTATGTGACTATGGTTTATATGCTCTCAAGGCCCTTGTACTCCTTTCAGGTGACATTAACAGCCCTTTTAGTCCTGAATCTTCCCAAATCCAGCCTTTCTGATTTCTTAATTACTAGACATTTGAGCTATTCATTTGTTTCCTTGAAGGTATGAAATCAGTTCTCTAATTATTAGTTCACTCTGGCACACACATTTCACACAGTTTGCATACTAGAGATCTACTTAGTTTATTTTATAGAAAAGAGACCAATTCAAAGATGAAATAATGAGGCAAACATATACAAGTTATTCTGAAAATAAACATAAAGACACAATTCCATTTAGATAAAACCCCTTCAGTACAATATATGTTTGCATTCAAATAGTTTCTCAGCATAACTCCTAGCTACAGAGGATCCAGAGTTTTACAGATAGCTTCTTGTCTAGAGGCTGTGTGTCAGGCTCTGAATAGATTTCATGTCAAACCCCTTCCATTTTAAAAGGGTGCATTTGTTCCCTTCAGGCACTGTAGACATTCAAAGTGAGGGAAATTTCCAGTTATCTCAATATGTTTCCATTAACTGGAATGTCCGATCACTGTCTTTTCCTAGGTTGTACAATGGATCATTACTTGAGTCCAGTTTTGTATAAATACTTAGTCAGAGGTGCCTCTCCCTGTCTGATCATTCGCTGCCATGCTGTGAGGTGTTTATGAGTACAGTTCTCTGTATAAGCAGATACGTATATTCATAACCATAGTTGTATACATATCTCATGATTTCTTAGTTTAGAACACCACAGGCTTTCATAACAGATCTCTAATTTTTACTGTACAATAACATTGTATACAATCAGTTGTTTTCAATGCTTATTTTTGGGGTTAAACCATCTGTTCTCATCTTGGGGTGTATGGACTCTGATTGTCACAATGGTTTCATATTTAATACAGTTTAATGTTGCCCTGGAGAACTGGATTATGTTCCTGTCTCTGCTTGAGAGTTCCTATATGATTCTGGGAAAGACACTGTTATGTTCAAATTAAAAAGTACAAGTCACAGGATAAAAAACAAAGCACATATGGAATGTAATATGTAGCTTGCCTCAATATATAAAACGAGTGGAAGGATGAGTATTTTTGTATTGACCTAGGGGATAGCATTATATTATATTGATTGAGTTATCTTATTATGGGCTTGTTACTTCCAAAATCAGACTTCAGAAACCCTAAGAATTACCTGCCTATATTTGTAATTTAATTCTAAGTTTTTCTGTTTTTGGTAGGTGAAAGGGGGTGGCCTGGCCTAGAGGAATTGCTCCCCAGAACAGACTCATTCTCTCACCTCCAGGAGAACATGGATACAGACTTCAGCTCAAAGGATTGATGCTCAGGCAGAAATTCCTCAAAAATAAAAAAAACTTTTTATTTTACATCAGATTTCCTAATGTATCTAAAACAAAAGAACATTATGAAAACACAGCAAATCTAAAACATATATTAAAAAGAATAAAACCACTCTTTTTAAACAAAAACGTTTTAAATTTAGATTTAAAGTACCCAAAATTGCAATATCCTACAATTAGAAAATAACGTTAAGAGGTTAAATTTTATGTGCAATGATCAGTTACAGATAAGGTACATATACAATCATTCAGTTTTATTATCTCAGATACAACCATTCCTACATTCTAGATATTCCTTATAGAATCATAAGGTTGAAAGAGACCTCAGGAGGTAACAAATCCAATCCCCATTAAAAGTAGGACCAATCCCAACTAAATCATCCCACCCAGTACTTTGTTAAGCCTGGATTTAAAAACTTTTAGGGATAGAGATTCCACCGCTTCCCTAGATAACCCATTCCAGTGCTTCACCATCCTCCAAGTGAAATCCCTTGACCAAATCCCTCAACAACTGCATAGTGTTGAATTATGACCCTATCCTCCAAAGCACTTACAACTCCTCCCAGCTTGGTATAATCTGCAAACGTAATAAGTGTACTCTCTATGCCAATATCTAAATCATCGATAAAGATATTGAACAGAACAGTTCCAAAACAGACGCCTGCGGAACCCCTTTTGTTGTACCCTTAATAACTACTCTCTGAAACTGGTTATCCAGCCAGTTATGCACCCACCTTATAGTAGCCCCATCTAGATTGTATTTCCCTAGTTTATGGATAAGAAGATTATGCAAGAACGTATCAAATGCTTTACTAAAGTTTAGGTATACCACACCCACTTTTTCTTTCCTATCCACAAAGCTTGCACTTAGTGAATCCATGTTGACTATTCCTAATCACTTTCTTCTCTTCCAAGTGCTTCAAAAGGGATTTCTTGACAATCCATTCCATGATTTTTTTCTGGGGAGTAAGATGAGACTGAGCAGTTTGTAGTTCCCTGGATTCTCCTTCCCATTTTTTAAAGATAGTCACTACATTTGCCTTTTTTCCATTGTCCAGGACCTCCCGCACTCACCATGAATTTTCAAAGATAATGGCCAATGGCTCTGCAATCACACCAGCCAACTCCCTCAGCACCCTTGGATGCAGTAGATCCGACCCCATGGTTTTGTGTATGTACAGCTTATCAAATAATTCTTAACATGTTTTCTCTCCACTGAGGGCTGCCAACCTCCTTTCCATACTGTGTTGCCTAGTGCAGCAGTCTGGGAGCTGACCTTGTCTATGAAGAAAGAGGCAAAATAAGCATTGAGTACTTCATCTTTTCCCACATCATCTATCATTAGAGTACCTCCCTTATCCAGTAAGGGTTCCATACCCTCCCTGATCACCTTTTTATTGCTAACATGCCTGTAGAAACCTTTCTTGTTACTTTTCATATCTCTTGCTAACTGCAATTCCAATTGCACTTTCTCCTTCCTAACTGCATACTCACATAGTATATTTATACTCTGCCCTAGTTATTTGTTCAAATTTCTACTTTTTGTAAGTTTCCCATTTGTGTTTAAGATTTCACCAAAGATTTCACTGTTAAGCCAATCTGGTCACCTACCATATTTGCTTTTCTTGCCGGATGTTGGGATGATTTGTTCCTGTGCCTTCTATAAGGCTTCTTTAAAATACAGCCAGCTCTCCTGAATTCCTTTCCCCCTCATGTTAGTGTCCCAGGGGATCTTGTCCATCAGTTCCCTGAGGGAGTCAAAGTCTGCTTTTCTGAAGCCCAGGGTCTGAATTTTGCTGCTCTCCTTTCTTCTTTAGTTCAGGATCCTGAATTTGACCATCTCATGATCTCTGCTTCCCAGGTTGCCACCCACATCTACTTCCCCTGCTAGTTCCTCCCTGTTTGTGAGCAGCAAGTGAAGCTGAGTATGCCCCTGGTTTGTTCCTTCAGCACTTGTACCAGGAAGTTGTCCCCAACATTCTCCAAAAACTTTGTGGATTGTCTGTGTACTGTTGTATTGATCTCCCAACAGATATCAGGGTAATTTAAGTTCCCTATGAGAATCAGGGCTTGTGATCTGAAAGCTTCTGTTAGTTGTCTGAAGAAAGCCCTGTCTACCCCATCCACCTGATCTGGTGGTCTATTACAAACACCCAACAAGACATTACCGTTGTTGCTTCTGCCTCTACACTCAACCCAAAGACTCTCAACAGGCTTTTTTTCCTGTTTTATACTGGAGCTCTGAGCAATCATACTGCTCTTTTGCATACAGTGCAATTACTGCAACTTTTCTCCCCTGCCTTTCCTTCCTGAATAGTTTATATCCTACCATGACAGTGCTGCAATCATGTGAGTCATTCCAACAAGTCTCCGTTATTCCAATCACATATCTTATGTGACAGTCATCATGCCTTCTTCTCCACAGTCTTCTGTTCCTCTTCTCTGTCTAGGTCCTTCTGATCTGTTATGATTGATGTTGCTGCTACTGCTTCTTTGCTTCTGCCTCTGTTCAGTAATTTTAGCTTTTAACTTTCAGTTCGTGATGTCTTTTGATGAGACTCCAAACATTCACTCACTCCATCACCTTCAACTCATATTCTGACACAGATTGACTAAAGACTGACAGATGGAACGAGGTGTACAGATAGTTCGGAATGGCTTGCTAGTCCAAACTATCTAGCCCGTGCCGCGTGTAGCCGTGCGGCACGGGGTTCGAACAAGCCGGCATTTAAAAATGGCGCCGGCCGTCTTATGCAAAGTTCGCACTAGCGGGGTAGTGTAGACATACCCATTGTGATTGCTTGCCGCCACCACCATCTTGTCATTGCTAGCTGTAACCTCCTAAAACTATATTAATAATTAAAGCTTTATAATAATAAACTATCCATATCTAAATATACTCTAACACTATGATTCTCTGTCTCTATCCTATTTTTATTATCTTAAATTTAATTCCAGTCTTCCTGTCCTTCAGTTAGTGGTGGCAGCACAGAGCTCTTAGGGCAGTGGTTCCCAACATGGCGCCCGCCAGGGCATTTATGTGTGTCTGCCGGGGCATTTATGTGCGCGGCGCCGGCCCTCGGTGCATAGGTGGCCCCGCCCCTGAGCACGCTGCGAAAATGCGGCCCCTCTCCTGGGCTTGTGGTGCATGGGGAGCACCAGCCCTAGGTGTGTGGCAAATGGGCAGCCTCGCCCCCACCGAAGTGTGTGGCTCAAGGGGAGCACTGGCCCCAGGCGTGCGGCTATGGGGGGCAGTGACCCTGGGCATGCAGTGAATTGGCAGCCCTGCCCCCGGATGCACAGCACTGGGGGGCCCCGCCCCTGGGCGCGGGAGCAGCCCCACCCCTGGGTGCCCGGCAGCTCCAAAAGGTTGGGGATCACTGTCTTCGGGTGTGTCTACACTACTGAAGTAAGTCAATTTTATTTAATTTGTGTTTGAGCATGTGATTTAACAAATGTGATTTTGCATTTCCCCAGTAGGTGGCTGTGGTCGATGGAGTCAGCAATCAATGTGGTTGCATTGATTCAAGGAGTGATGCATTGTGGGTAGCTAACTTACACTCTCTGCAGCAGATTGGAATGCTGGGCTCGGGTCTCATGAGATGAAAACTTTGTTGCCAGTCGTTATGAGTGAATACTATAAACCTTCCATATCTGTGGCTCACAACCAGCCTTGTTCTAGGATGCACTTATCTAAGCTCCTTTATTTTCACACAGCATTACTGTGTGTTCTTAGTGGAGCCCTTATCCACCAATCCCTGTGTGATTTTGGCATAGATATCAGCATTGTTTTTGCTGGTTCAAAGCTCTGCCTATACACAGAACTGTCCCTAGAAATGTTAATGCCCTACACCACTCCCTTTGAGAGGGCGGTTGTCCTTTTGTGGAGGGGTGGGGGTGGCGGCCCCTATGTAAGGGAACTGTCTCTTGACCATGGGGGAGGAGTTGTAGGGAGCAGGAGTGGGGCAGGGAGGCAGCAGGGATTGGGTCTGCACTTACCAAAAGTAGTGGGAAGTGGAGCAAGCTGGCCCCAGCCTCCTCCACTCTCCTGTCTCTCAGCCATGTTGCTTGAGGGAGGGAGCTGGGAGAAAGGGTTGGGACTACCTCCTGCACTTAGTGGTGGTAGAAAGCAGAGCAACACATTTGGGAGGCAGGGGAGTGGAGTGAGCAGCATCTTGGTTACTCCTCTTTCCCCCTCCCCGACCACTGTTGCCAGTGAGTAGGGGGGCGGTGTGAACCTTTGCCCTTGGTGCCAGGACTTCCCTATTGTCCCACAGGCCATGTGGCTCTAGGGAAGAGATGGTATGGGTGGAGGAAGCGTGGAGGTATCCTAGGTCCCATGGCCCCCTGGGATGGCCTTGCTGGGTGCAACCTGTCAGAATGGGAGTGGCTGAGGGATAGAGCTGGCCACTAGAATTAATGCTGCCCCATGGACAGCACACAACTGGCAATGGCACCATGGAATTTGGGGAAATTTGATGCCCCAAATTTCATGATGCCCTGTGCATCTGCATACTCTGCTTATTGATAGGGATGGTCTTAAATATCTCCAGAGATGGAGATCCCACCACGTCCCTAGGCAACTTATTCCAGTGTTTAACCACCCTGACATTTAGGAAGTTTTTCCTAATGTCCAACTTAAACCTCCCTTGCTGCAATATAAGCCAATTGCTTCTTGTCCTATCCTCAGAGGCCAAGGAGAACAACTTTCTCCCACCTCCTTGTGACACTCTTTTCCACGCTGGAGTGCATTTGCAGCTCTAAGCACTGCATGTTAAGCTTTACTGGTGAGCTTTTTATGCTGCTCCAACAAGGAATGAACATTCAAAAGTTTCCCAGGCTTTTCCTGCTCACCTGGATAAACAGCATTGGAGTTCAAAGCATTCTGGATCACCACCTGGAGGCCAGTAACTCCAAATTACAACACTGTGTTTACATTGCCCTTAAATTGAGGAGTGAATGTCCTTTTAGGTGGAATACAGGAATTGATTTTAAAAGCCCTTTAGGTCAACACGAAGAATTTGGCAGTGTAACACACACATTACAAATTTGACCTAGCACTAAGCATGATGACCTTATGTGGCCGGGTGTCCCTGGCGACAGGGTGGCCTAGTGGTTAGGTCATGGAATTAGCTGGCAGAAAAGGAGTACAGAACCCTGGTGCTGGTAGCCCTGGCCAAGGAACTCTGGCCCACTATATTAGTACAGGCAGTCCCCGACTTACGTGGATCCGACTTACGTCGGATCCCTAGATACGAACGGGGTGAGGCAACTCCCGCACATGCGCAGCAGCATTCCCGGGGCTCGCTCACCTGGGTCCTAGGATCCTCCTCCTCCTCGGGCCGGCTCCGACTGGGGTCCCGCAGAGCTGCCGGGCAGAGGAAAAGTGCCTCCCCACACCTGCTGCCCCTCCCACCAGCAACAGGCTCCCCCCTCCCCTGAGCAACAGGCTGCTGAACAGACAAAAGCAGCCTCTCTGCCCCTCCTCCCCTCTATACATGGCGCGCTCCCG